CACCCATTCATCTATTCATTCACTCAGCCATCCACCCACTCAGGAAGGCTCTGGCTGGAGGCTGAGGTTACTGAGGCAGTTTGCACATGCCCTTGCCTTCTGGGCTCACAGTCTCTCGGCAGAGGCAGACAGAACAGCTGCTAGTGGTGCAGTGTATACGTGGTGACGAGCACATGATCACTGCTAGGTGGCGTATCACACCGGTTAGAGACAAGTTCCTGTCCCCAAAGTAGAACTTAAAGCATTGTTTTCCTTGTACTGAGGAGCCCTAACTCAGATGGGGACCTTTCCAGATATGTAGAAAACACAAGGAAGTGTGTAAGGCTGTCCCCTGCCCAACCCTCTAGGCAGGTCCCTGGGCCATGGGGACCAAGGTGACCTTTCCATCCTCTATCAGGGAGGGGTGCACACTGGAGATGACAGAGGTGGTCATTGTCTGGCAGCCTGGAAGCGCCCCAGGAACCCTGGGCCTGCCTAGTCTGACCAGAGGAGGGGCTTACGGCTTGGTGGGAAGGCATCCTGTGACATTGGGCTGCCTCAAAGAGAGGGCGGCTGGGGAACCAGACGGGACAGAGAGAGCTCAGGATGGTGAGCCTTTGGATCTGGTGGGATGGCCTAGGGGGTCAGGCTAGGGTCCCCTCCCAAAGGATAGCCAGCGAGGCTAAGGCGGTGCATGCTTTGGGGGAGCCACTCTTGGTGACCACCAGAGGGCACTAAAGCTCAGGCGACAGCCTAGTGGGATCCCAGGACAGGGAGGGGCTGAGAGAGTAGAGTTAATAGAGGGGAGCCCCTGCGACGGAGTTAAGGCCCTGTCACCTTTTCAGAGACCTGGCGGTCCACCCTATTGCCAAATCTAGGCCTTGGCACCCTCTGCATTGTCCACGTCAGGGGCAAACAATACTGCCCCTTCCTCCCCTCTCTCCCAGCGCTCAGGAAGACGTGAGCCCACCTTCCAGCTCCCACGGATGGTGATGTCTGCCAGACAGAGGTGGGGGGTCACTTTCCCTGGGAGACTGAAGCAAAATACTCCACCACATACACCTCCATTCACTCCTTCAGCCAGACTTACTGCACACCTACTATGTGCCAGACACTGTTGTAGGCACTTGCTATACGTAAGAGAATAAAAGAAGACCTACCTCATGGTGTTCACAGTCCAGATGGGTCTGCAGCCTTTGTCTGTAAAGGACAAAGTAAATATTTTAGGCTTTTGGGCCACTCAGCTCTGCCTTTATAGCAGAAAGCCACCCTTAACAAGACAAATTGTCATGGCAGTGTTCCAATAAAATTCTCCAGACACTAAAATTAGAATTCCATATAATTTTAGGGTGCCACAAAATATTATCCCTCTTTTGATTTTCAACCATTAAAAACACCAAACTGCTCTGGCTAGTGTGGCTCAGGGGTAGAGCATCAGCCCGAGCGCCAAAGGGTCATGGGTTCAATTCCTGATCAAGGGCACATACCTGGGTTGCTGGTTCATTCTGGCCCCACTTGGGGGCAAATGCCAGAGGCAACCAGTTGATGTGTCTCTCTCACATGGATGTTTCTCTCTCTCTCTCTCTCCCTTTCCCTCCCTCCCTTCCACTCTTTCTAAAAATCAATGGAAAAAAATATCCTCAGGTGGGGATTAACAACAACAAAAAAAGCCCAACAAAAAGAAAACAAAACACAAAACCACCCTTAGCCCTTGAGCTACATAAAAACAGGCAGCAACCTGGGTTTACCTCAGGGTCTGGAGTTGCCGGTCCCCAACTAGGAAGGGAGATAACACAGTGAATCTTGTAATGAGTCACTCACCCGGGAGAGATTGTGAGTCCATGGAAATAGCAGAGTATGGAGAATGGGCCCCGGCAGTGCGGGCGCCGGGCAGGCCTTGGTATTCAATTGGGTCATTTTAAACTATTTTGATAGCATGGGTAGCATGGGAACCCAACCTACATTGAACTTGGAGGAAACTCGGGTCCCCTTACTGCTCCATTCTGTTCTCTCCCTCTGCCCTCCACTAGTGTGTCACAGCTTCTGCACCTTCACATTCTCCGAATTTGGCATGCATGTTATGTATCCACAGAAAGCATTCAGTATCATTCCTTGTGTGTCCTAAGTGGCAAGTGATTGTCCTATCTCACTGAGGCTTGCTTTTCTCTCCCTTAGTCACGTCTGCATTAAGATGCTCATTGCAGGTGACTGTGGGTTGTTTCCCTGCAGGAGGAAGCCACATCTGCCTCTCCACCCTTCACCTGGCCGGTGGTGGACAGTCGAGTCCATCCTGTTTTAGGGCTCTCTCCACCCAAGGCTCAGGTTAGAGGCAAAGTCAAGCCCTCTCTCCTGGGGTTCCAGCTGGAGCACCATTGCTTTGCTGGGCAGAAGAATGAGGGCGTCAGGGGAGGGTGGCCTCAAGTTGGGGCTAATGGCAGAGGTCGCCCCAGCAGGTCCCTTTGTGAGGCTAGGGGCCTCATTTTTTTTTAAAAAAATATATCTTTATTGATTTCAGAGAGAGGAGAGGAGAGGGAGAGAGAGATAGAAACATCAATGATGAGAGAGTCATTGATCGGCTGCCTCTTGCACGCCCCCGACTGGGGATGGAGCCCGCAACCTGGGCATGTGCCCTGACCGGGAATCGAACCCTGATATCCTGGATCCTAGGTCGATGCTCAACCGCTGAGCCACGCCCGGCCGGGCGAGGGGGCCTCATTTTGCTCCTCAGCCCAAGCATCAGTTTGATGCCCATGCCCATCAAAGGTGTAAAATCCCCACAATTAGCCTCTTGGCACTGCCAAGGCTGTTGCCACGGTAATGCCTGGCAATCCCTTGTGCAGCCACATAGGCAGATGGGGACATACAGAGGGGCCTGCATACAGAGGGGCCTCTGCTGTGGCCCGAGCATCTAACCCATGACTGAAGGCTCCCTTAGATGCCCAGAGGCCTGGGCACACCTGGACACCTGGGTCCTGCTTGCGGGGATGTTTGTGTCTGGGAAATTGCTCTCCAGGCCTGCCTCCTGCCCAGGCCAGACCTTCCCCAGGCTGCCCCAGCACGCCCCACCCCCAATCTGTGGGAGTCTCCTGGGAATTGACTAGAGAGAGGGGGTCCTGGCAGGGGGGCACATGGATCCCATCCAGCTTGCTGGTCAGCCAACATTTTTGCACCATGTGCCAGGCCATGCTGAGCACCAGGAGTTTAGCATCGGCTGCGATGGGGTCCCATCCCCAGGGGGCTCACAGTCTGGTGGGAGACACTGACCGGTGAGTCATCAGTCTTTACAAGTGATGTATTTGTTTGAATCGCTGGTGCAGGCACGTGATTACAAACTGCAAACTACTTGGAAGGTAAGTGCAAATTCCTCTCTCCTCCCTGTCTCCTCCCCTCCCCCCAGGCGGTCTGTCCTGTCCGCCCCTCCAGGAGATGGTCTGTGCATTCAAAAGCAGCTCTCCTAAGGAACAAAGAAGCCAGAACGAAGTCCACACGCTGCACAGCCTCTGCACACTCCTCTGCCTGCATTTTTCACCGACCAGCATTTCTGGGAGATAATTACATATC